AGCTGGCAGGTGCTCGGGCAGAGACACGTCTGTCCTGGCCTTGGGGTGTGGCGTGGGCCAGCCCTCGGCAGCTCGGGTGGTAGTGAGCTGGGCGCAGGGGAGTGGGCAGGAAGGAAGCTTCAGGGATCCTGCTGGTCTCTGTCCCCCTTCCCTCTTTTGCCTCCGGGGCAGGAACCAGGTACCACCAAGCAGAGGATCTGCTCTGGTTTCTGACAGATGTGCGCCCTGCCACCAAGCTTTTGTGGAATTGGCTCCAAAGGAAATGGATTTTGGCCAGGGCCAGCGTGGATCTTGCCTTGCATGGCTCATGCAAGCGATTTTTCTGAGAGTACTAAGATGGTAGTTTCTGCCAAACTGATGTTTTTAATGGATGTTTTCCAGGGTTAAATAAAGCCCCAGCTCCATCATAATGTTTTTTCCATGCTTGTTACACGTTATTAGCTTTTTGGAGAGCAAAGAAATTTTTCTTGTCTAGTTACTTGTTCATTTTCTTTTTTAATTTAATAATCACGCTGTTTTACTTGTGCTCGATTTAAATCCTGCTCTGCATGGGATGTTTTCTCAAAAGTGTTTGATAATAAGAATGTGTTGTTTACATTTAGGAGGAGGGAAAAAAAGGAGGAAATATGCTGTTTCACACATCGTAGGACAGCTCTTAAGCCACTTGATTCGTCATAAAACAGATTTTTGCTACGTGTTTGTTCAAAAGGTGAATCAGTTGCTTGAGGGATTTTCATGAGAGGAGGATGATACTTAGAAAAATAACAGTTTGAGAAGTCACAGTGGACTTCAGAAGTCTTGTGTCACTTGGTAATGAAATTATTGAGTGCAGAGTGTTTTAGATGGATACATACAGTTACAGTTTCTTCAGTTGTTATATAACATTCCTTGAAATGTTTCTTGAACATGTTATTTTTTTAATTTCCTTTAGAACATAATAGAGAAAAAGCAATTACAATGCATCATCTTCTTAGGGATGACCTTGGGCATGACTAGAGCCAGCAGTGTTGTTTCATACTGCTTTAGTGGTAGAGTCAGGAATCTGCAAGAAATTAAGTGGACAGATTGTAAAAACTGATGGAGTTTCTGAGGAAATCTTTTCAATATAAATAGTTGAAAAACAGAAAAATTGTGTTAATTGTGGTGTGTATTAGCACTGGTAAGCAGGTAAGCATTACACAGCCGCTTGCTCACTTTCCTGCCACCGCCAGAGAGATGGGGAAGAGGAAAGTAAGAGTAAAAGCAACAAAACTTATGGGTTAAGATAAAAATTGTTTAAGAAATTAAGGAAAAGTGGAAAAAGATAGAAAACAAAACAGGTGATGTAAAGGCAATCACTCCTCCCACAGGTAGACCTATGCCCAGCCAGTTCCTGAGCAAAAGATGACTAACCTCCCTAAACCCCCTCCTCTTGCATTTTATTGCTGAGCATGATGCTTTATAGCATGGAATATCTCTGGTTAGTTCGGATCATCCGTCTGGTTGTGCCCCCTCCCAACCTTTGACACACACCAGTCTATTCACCAGGAGGGGACAGAGGGAGAAACAAAAGGCCTTGATGCTGTGCAAGCTCTGCTCAGCAACAGCTAAAACATTATTATGTTATCAGCATTGTTTTGGTCACAAATCTAAAACAGCACCATACAAGCTACTGTGAAGAACATTAACTCCATCCCAGCCAGACCCAATACACAAATGTGTTTGTTACCATTTCTTCTTCCCTCTACTTTTACTTCTGATGCTAACACAGGTATTGCACAAATAATAGCCAAATTAGTGTCCAGAGTAGAAAGTGTAGGTACAAAACTATGTATTATACAATTCACTCAATTTTTGGACTCTTGAAGCACACATGACAGTACATGGCTGTGTCTTCTGCTGGCTATGCATCATTCCCTGTGTTTCAGCTTAGGTGAAAAATTAGGTTCAGGTTACTTCTGCAGCTCTAGTTCCTGCAGAGAAAGTGTGATGTTAACAAATGTCATGTGCCTGTCAACAGGAAGTGTGCACTGGACAGGAAAGATCTGAAGAGGCACCAGTGAAACAATAACTTCAAGCTGCGATGTCAGCAATGGATAGATTTCTGAATACACTGTCTTTCATTTATGGTGGTTTTGTCATTGGGCTTGAGCTTCAGAGTCCTAACTTTGAATGCAGCTCTTCTGGGGAGAGTAGTAATTCATATCCTGGGTTAGTGAACAAGGAAGGATCACCGAGAATCTTTCTACAGGCACCTTTACTCTGCTTTCTGTAGTGATGGAAAGCTATTAACACAGGGCTAAAGGGGACTCCTCAGTCATCACACCTCATCTTAACAGCTTTATGTAATTGCTTTCATAAACTTCACCGTAAAACTAGTTCAGTTGTTCCTTTCATTTTTAAGCTCCTCTAGAATACAGGCAGTCTAAGGATGAAAAGGTAGTTTCTGGTAAAGTTTGTTCATGATCACTTCGTGCCCATTTGCTATTGTGCTACTGCCCTTAAAATCAGAATTATTTTTTCTCCTTTGTGGTAAGCCCTGTGACACATTTGTTTGAAGCAAGTCTATTTTATTTTCATCAGGTTTTTGCTAGGTTAGACAAGTTATGCTTTTGTCTTACTTCAGTTTGTAAGATGGGCAATCTGTTCCTCCATCCTGATAACGTCTTTTGCAGTTGTTCTTTGAATCTGTCTTTGACAGTGATCAGAACTCTTGAATTATATTGTACATGAAAGCTCACTAGTGCCTCAGTGCATGACATCAGTACTTTTCTGTTTTTACTGAAGAGTCTGCTTAAACTTTTTCCATTTTTTATGGCCACGTCATTTTGGGATTAACTAACAATCCACAAGGAAAAATTTTCTATCTCTTGCTTTTGGTTTTCAACTGAAGAGCTCTGAATTTAAACACAAATAGTTATTATAGTCCCTATACTACTGTTGCAGTTCCAAAGCTATTCTTTCAGAACTTGAATAAGAATCTTGTTCCAACCTGATAGTAGGTTATATCAAAAAAGGAAATGTAACCACTTTGCAAGTTTTATACAAATCCTTCATTTTTCAGCTAAACTTATAATTTCTTGTTTTGTATAATTACCAATGTCCATGTAGATTACATTTACATTTGTTGCATGATCTATTTTTTTTTTAATTAGCACATTTTCTATTTAAAAACAGTGGGAAAAGCATTTTTCATATATGTCTGATGAGGAGAAGTATTTCTGAGATGGGGAAAACAAACCACTAAATAGTTGAGACAAACAGAATTTAAATAATGACTGCTTGCTGAACTAGATGCTGACTTAAAAATCTTCAGACGACTGACTGACCAGTGTGTTTATCTTGAGATTTAAAAGAGAAAAAAAAATCCTCAAACATCATACTCTCTGCTGAGCTGGAGAAAATAATTATTTGCCTGTCAATCTATTAAGCTGCTAAATTCCTTTTCCAGGCTTCAGTTATCAAATTTTGTTTTCAATTATATGTGGAAATGTCTGCATGTGGTTAATATTAAAGGGATTGCCGTACCCTAGACCTCATCAGATAACCAATCTAATTTCTGGGACAAGTTTCTTAATCTTCTTGTTTCCATCTCTATGTTCTTTTCCGCAGAAGCGTGTGAGAAATAGTGAATGTGAGAATGAGGGGCTAGGTTCTTCCCGTTCAGCACTTGTAACCAATCATAAGCTCAAATCTGTAGTTCTTAGCAAGGCTTCCCATGTAGTGGTCTGGTCTGGTATATTTCACTGTGAAAATGAAATAAAGTAGACAGAACCACAGTGGTTCAATCCCAGTTCTTTTATCGGAATTTGATCATGGGGATCACTTCTCTCCCAAGCAGTCACTCCCGTGGGTACTGGCATAAAAGGGCTAGTTTGAGCTATTGAGAAACTGAAGCTGTTTTTCTATTGGTGGTGTTTTGTTTGGTTGTTTTGTAGAGTGTAGGAATACTACTTTCCACATGAAGCAAAAGTGCTTTGATAAAGTTTTGTTGGCCTGTGATATTGACCAATGTTACCTCTGGACATCAGAAAAGATAAGTAAAATCTGTAAATAAAAATAATCCAAGAAAACTCTTAAACCTTTATATTTCACATATAAATGTCACATTTGTTTACTGTTATTGTTGGAAGGCTGTATGTTGTATCTGACTTTAGCATTTCTTTCAGCTTTCAGACAGAGGACACACAGAAAGAGAAGAGCAGAAAGAAGATAAAAATAGCACCGAATGCGGCGAACTAGGAATCATGGATCTGAAATTCACGTCATCGAGAAAATACATTTCCATCAGTGTACCTTCCAAATCTCAAACTATGTCTCCTCATATCAAATCAGTAGATGATGTTATAGTTCTTGGCATGAATCTCAGCAAATTTAACAAACCTACCCAATTTTTCGTCTGTGTTTCTGGAGTTTTTATGTTTTATCTAATCTATGGATATTTACAGGTAAATGCTATGAGCTTACATCTTGGACCAATTCCTTCTACCCTTTTTCTTATCAGTAGCGTAAAAATGTAGTAAGTATTTTCATATGTATAGACATTTTAAATAGATATTGATTGCAAAGTCAAGCTTCCAGAATTCAGGAGCAGTAAGTGATTGTATTTAAAATGCTGTTTCCTAGTCTTCTGAAAAGGAACAAATTGTAGAACCGTACAGACAGACATGTAAGTCTTCATTGGTGTTGAAACCTTTGGATCTCCTTCGATGCCATGAGTGCTGTGCAGTAATAGTAGCATATTGTCTCTCTGCTCTCCCTTCAGGACAGAGCAGAAACACATACTATGGTTGGTTGTTAAGCAGAAGCATAAAGTTTATGCCATTTTTGTTAAATATTTATTTTCCTACTAACCTTTTCTCTTTCATCTTGAGAGCTACATGTCTGTTCTTTTTTTATTTTTTTTTGTTAAGCTCAGTGAGTCTTCTCAATAAAGCAATGATTTAAAAAGTTGATGATTAAAAATCACCATGTTTCCAATGCAGTTTTCAAAAAATGCTGAGAATTTTTTTAAAGTTACTTCCAAAGAGTTACACAAAGTTGTTGATAATTGAAAGCAGAATCTCAAAAACTAAAATATTAGGTAGCCTTTTGTTTCTATAACCTAATTCTTTATGCAGCGCATGCATTTTTCCATAACAAATTTTTCTGGTTTTTAATGTTCATACAGCCTGAAAATTTATAAGTTTACAAGTGCTATTTACTGTAGATACTCAAAATATTAGGTGCACATTACCAGTAAATATATCTGTTAGAGAAAGTTTGTATTTAATTTATTGTGAGCTATTTATAAATTCTCACTAAAAACACTCTACTGAAGTAAATGAACTGAAAACCAACTGAAAAGCAGATGGGAAACCATCTATATTTTGAGATAAATATTAATGGATTCAATGTATTCTCCTGACTAAGAGATCCATTAATTTCAGTGAATTTACACCAGAAGTAAATTTTCTCATTGTATTTTGGACAACCTAAATTGTCTTTTTCAATACTTTGCAAGTTATGTATGGCAGGTAAATTCTAGTTAATAACCAACAGCTACAGAGACTAGATTTGCATGTACATGAAGAAAAAAAAAAATCTGTTGATTTTGTTTTGATTTAATATTTTGGTGTACATATGTGACCTTGGTGGGTTTTTGTTTTTATAGGAATTGATATTTTCAGTGGAAGGTTTTAAACCTTTTGGTTGGTACCTCACTTTAGTGCAGTTTGGATTTTACTCCATTTTTGGACTAATAGAATTGCAGTTGATTCAGGACAAAAGGAGAAGGTAGGTGTTTTTCCAAGCATTTTACCTACTGTCCATCAAATTAGAAGCATTTTAGATGTTTATGGTAAATTTAACTTCTCTTGTTTGAATATGAATACTGTGAGTCATTGTCAGTAGTTCTGTAGTTAAATAAATGGATGATGTTAAAAAATGTTTTATAAGCACCCGCTTAAATTTCAGACATGTAAGTAGTCTTGTTGACTCTACTGTCACTTTGTCCCACTTACAGAGCATATTCTGTCCTTAAGGTAGCTGATACAGACTGACTCATGTATGTGTTGCTTGGGATTATCACGTCTAGAATGTACTTCACAGCACTTGAAGCCATCTGTCACTGAATACCTTTTCCTCAAACCTTGGCATCCCCTCACCAAGAGGTTCCTCTAGCATGCTGTGCATCTTGGAGAACATCAGAGGTCTGTTCTCTGCTTGCCATGTGGCTCTGTAGGTTTGCTTGAAAGGACATGCTTAGGTTTTGCATTCTTCATTTAAGTTAGCACTCGTAACACCCTGCCACAAAATTATCCTTTTTTCACTGCAGTTGACCAAGGAGATCCTTGCTGTCTTGAGTTCCGTGGACATGGGATATTTTGATCTGACGCAGTGTGGCCATTCTGTGGCTTCCTGCCCAACTGCAGCTTCTGCAAACTGTATATTAAAGCTCTTTGGAAGCTTGGATAGAGGCTATTGTGGTGTACATGAATTTTAAAATTGCTTTAAAGCATTATATCCTAGCTCAGCATAACTAGTTTTCCTTACTTGTAGTCAACCTTGGCTGATTTTGCATATACTTATTTTAGGTAATAGAATTATTTTTTAGACAAACAATGTAACTTTGATAAATTATTTTTTATTTTAAACACTGACAGCTTATGTTTCAAGTTATCTGACTTTTCGAGATGCATCAGATAATATTATGTAGCTACCTTTTGGATGTTCTGTAACTAGTATTTAGGTTTTGATTATCAAATAGTTGCTAATGCTTACAGAGAATGACCCTGTAAGTTATGTTGGAAATGTAGATCTTTAATATATTTTACATTTTATTTTCTGTAACCTAGACATCTTCTTGTAGACGTTAAAAAAAAAAAATCTATTTCCTAATTTTTATGCTGAATTCTCTGTTTCTTAAATTCTAATTTTTTCTTGCATGCCTCAGAGTATGCCTGCATCACCTAATGAGTTATGGATAAGGCAAGGTTACAGCAAGATATCTCCTTGTGCTGCTTAATGTGGCTCTGAGTATGCAGAAAAAATAGCTAAACATATGCACAACAAGAACTGTTAAAAATCACTTCACAAAGTGAGCACAGAAATTGCTAAAAATTACTGTTGGATCATCTGCTGTCAGGTGATAATTTAATCAAATTGCACACAATACATCGGAAAATGTTCAGTGAGCCTCAGTTTATGATACTTTATCACTTCTGTCTTAGTTCTGTTGAGTTTTATAAAACAATGGTACTTCAACTTTCTCCATTCTGAAAATGTCAATGCTCATGTGAAAACCTCACCAAGAAAATTGACAAGAGTGACCGTGGCAGGACTAGGATTCAGGCTGGTATACCAGCCGTCTGTGTTTCCTTTGACAAATAACCTGAAGCCTTTGTCTGGATTCTTCTGTAAATACTCTGCCTTCTCAGAAGGAGATTAAAGAATTACTGCTTGAATGCTTCATGAGCCAGGAAGTTCTTATTGTCTTGTATTTGAATGCTGTTTATTAGCAGTAATTGAAAGAAATGACATTTCAAATCAGTCATTTATGTGCGTTTTTAAATTTCTATTATGGAATGAAATTCAGTGAAAAAGATGGTCAAGTTGTATTACAAACATATTCCTTTATCTAAATTTTCCAAGCTAAATCTCCTCTAGATGAGTCTGTAATACCAAGATTCGTATGTTTATATTTTGTAGAATTCCTGGCAAAACCTACATGATAATAGCATTTTTAACAGTGGGAACAATGGGTTTGTCAAATACTTCTTTAGGATATCTGAATTACCCTACTCAAGTCATCTTCAAGTGCTGTAAGCTGATTCCAGTTATGATAGGCGGGGTTTTTATACAAGGTAAGTGTTAGTCTTGCTATTAGATTATTTTTTTGTTGTTTCTTTGGGAGACAGTCAGGTATGGAATCCTTTGTTAAATGACACTGAGGTCCTTGGGTGGAGAGAGACAGGTAGCATTTTTCTTCTAGGAGGAAAAACTTGAATTTCTGAAGCATCTTCTCAGAAAATGTACAAATACAATTAGATGAACAGAAAATGTGGGAAAAAATTAGTTGTACGGGTTGCTTGCAAAACTTCATTTTTATGCAAGCTTTCTTAATTTTTAATTAATGTAACTTTGATTGCTTCAAAAAATGAAACATTTTCAATACTGAAATGGAAAACTTGAAATGGAAAAAAAAATCCAGCCATGATTTGTGAAGAAATTCCCTACTCTTCTTTTTGGAAAATCTTGATTCCTAAATTCCTAATTGAAATTCCTAAATTTTGATGAAACGTTTAATCAGAAACATACCTGACTTTACATGTCTTTGGCTAGTCCTAAAGTCATAGTTCATATTCCAAGAACAGAAAAAGGGATCTGGAGAACAACAGATAAAGACTATAGTTATGTGAATAAACATACTTCAGTATTTCTGGATTTAGAAGACTTAAGTATATTATAAAAGTTTCTGCTGTCCAATACACAAGGATTCATTAAGTCGGTAAAGCTCTGCATGGGCAAGTGTTATGGAACAGAATCTAGAATTATATGTTTCTGTTTCAGCAGTGAATTCTGGCCTTCTAGTTGCAATAGAAAGCTGAACTTCCAGAGGAGATTACAGGTTTACATATGCACATGTGCACACAGTATTTACCTTTTGTTAGGAGTCATTTTGCATCATTTTAATGCAGAGAGACTGGTATTCACTTAAAGCATTGTGAAACTCTATATTGTGTTATAGTAGTATTGTATTCTCGGAAGCTGTGATTTTTTTTTTAATTACTTTAAAAAATTTTCAGTTCAAAAAAGTTCCCTTGGAAGCTTCTGTTGAAAGTACAGACTCTGGGAAAGGCAAATGTTATTTCAAACAAGTTACACTAAATCCTGCCTTTTTATTTGCCTACTCACTTTCTTTCTCCACCCCCTCTACATCCCATCTGTCCCAAAATGAAAGACAGTGTAGGGTTCTAAAAGTACCCAAGTCATCTTTTAGTGTTTGGGAATGACTTCTCTCTCATCAGTAAAGGCAGCCAAAATGTCTTGCATGCGGGAAAAATCTTACAAAACCATCTAAGTTGTCCTGAAGTTGCCCAAGATAGTGCTTTGATGGGGATGATGTGCTTTGTGTCATTAGGAGCAAAACTAAAGCTGACTGCAAGAATCAGGTGTTATCTGCTAAGTTCCTCCCCTATATTAGGAACTGCTGTTGTAGAAGAAACTTAACTCAACTCATGAAAGGCCAGAGCATTAACTCTTCTGCTTAGGTAAAGGAATGACATTGTAACAGATTTTTCCCTTGCTTTCTAGTCTGCTAAGTGGGACTAACATGAAATTCTGAGAGTGTTAACAGGCCATTCATGTTGTTTGTATTGCTTTTGTAGGAAAACGTTATAATATTGCAGATGTGTCTGCTGCTCTATGTATGAGTCTTGGATTAATATGGTTTACTTTAGCTGACAGCACAGTTGCACCAAACTTCAACTTGACAGGTAAAGATATATTTTAGATTTTAACAAAACGCTTGTTTTTTCCTACGATAAACATTCCATTTAAATTCTGGTAGTTCTTGGTGCAGTGTCTTCAGGTATCGTACGGAAAATGTAGGTTTCATTCTACCTTTGCACTAGCAGAACTGTATCTGTGTCAGGAGAGGCCTTTATTCTGAGTGTTAGTTTTTAGGTTCTTAAAATTTCTGGAAATTCCACCCTTTAGGTTGAAATGTTTCATGCTTGTTCTCAAGAAATACTTACTTCCCAGTAGATATGTTAAAAAAAATACGATAAAATTAATTTTGACCATTTTAAAACTTCAAAAGGTTTATTGTCTTTTCTAGTTAAACCTCAAATCTTTTTCTACCATTTACTTTATATTAGTTGATGGTCTCACTCAGATTTGATGCAGTTCTTAGTTGGAGTGCCCACATTCTAACTTCTCTATACTGTGTAAAATCAGAAGCAAAGAGAAGATTTTAACCTGCTTGGGTTTAAAAACTTAGTTGAATTTCTTTCTCAAATGACAGGGGAGCATTGGCTAGTCATAGAATCCATGTTATTTGCTTGGCTAGTGTTTGGATTAATACTGAACCTTGAAAACTTTTGAATATTCAACTTCTAGTGTATTCTTCTTTTGAAATTCTGAGATGAGTTACAACAACTATTATGACAGATGTTCAGAACCTTTATTTCTTAATAGTGGAGGCACTGATTTAGAAGTTTTGTTCCTAAAAATAATGTAAAAATTCTTGGTTTTAAGGAAGAGACTTTTTGTCATCACAAAATATTATTTTGTCTAGTGTTAGTAATGATCAGTTTGTGATGTTTTCTAAACTGTATAGATCTTTTGCCTTGCTCATAAATTAATTCTCATACCCTTTAATATAATTTTAGTGCTACTAGTTGTGGAAGAATTTATAAAAATCAGTGAATTATATAACCTGCTGTGCATTTAGTGGGTTTGTTTGGTGTAACTGGGTGGCTACTTGAAAGAAAATATATTTTGAGTACAGTATGACACTGGTATTAATGTAATTATGTTCTAGTGTTTCTGGTGTATAGATATGTGTTACAGTTACAGCTATCTTTGACTGTAGCCTCTAAGTGCATTCACATGTTTATAGATTCTTTTTGTAAAATTTGAATTGTTTTAAATATGTGCTATGACTTAATTTTGAAAAAATTTGTAAAGTTGATTCTTCAACTGAATGGGAAAGAAGGAAGTGCAGCAAATGTAACAAAGCCCTGATGCCCTGAAAGATCTGCAAAACACAAGATAAAAAACTTTAAACATCTTCAGAGAATAAACAAGCTTGTCTTTCATTATTCATTTATTTTGAACACTACAGACAAGTCTGGATATATTGAAGCTTAGAGCATTTGGAGAAAGTTAGTTCTGTGAAAATAGAATATAGAATTCAAAAGTGTGGGTCTTCCCTTAGGAAGGTGATTTGAAATTCTCCTGATCACCTTCTGAGAAGGTTCTTTCTGTATTTCTCTATTCCCTCTTGCCTGTTTGATTTTATTCCCATATCACTTAATTTAACCAGAAGAAACTTTTCATAATGGGAAAGGTGGAGTTTTTCCTTCTTTTGGACGAATTATGGATATAGATGCTCCCGTCCTGCAAGAAATGTACTGAGTTTTGGTCTTGCAGAAATATGTAGCTGCTAAAGTGTAAAACCAATGATAAGAATTATTAAAAATTTTTCTTACTCTACAAAATGGCATGTTGTTTTTAATAATTACATGTCTCTTGATGTAAATCACAGAATAAGAACTGAAAGGGGAGAGGCAGAATTTAATGTTGAATCTTCATAGAGTATTTTCAAAGAAATAACAAAGTATTTAAGGATATTAAAACTCTGAAAAACATAAACAGCAAATAAAATGTTAAACTTCAGAATTACTGTTTTCTAAAGTTGCAGTTTCATATTGCTGCCTACTTACTGCCCTATAAATTCCTGAGTTTGTTCCAGTGATTTATGCACATTTATCTAGATCTGTTTCCATGCAAACTAGTGTGATTCTATGACTATTTCACAGAACTTCTACTAACTTGTTAAGAACAAAGCTGTTTACATTTCACAGTTCTCAGAGAGCAAGACTATGCTATGAAGTTAAACAAAACACATAATCTTTGTTGTCTGATGCAAATACTAAAGTAGAGCATGAGAAGATATGAAATATTATGTGGATGAACAATTTTACAAGTCCTTTCTCCCCCCCCCCCCGCTATTGAAATCTAATCTCAGTATAATCTCAGTATTGCTGGGCCAAGAAAGGCATCTACACAGATTTTGTTTACACATGAAAGAGGTCAGCCAAGAAAACAGAAACTCTCTTCTGCCAGAACAGGTACATACTTGTAACAAAGGAAGAAGCATACTTTTCAAGATGGAAGTGGTACTTGGAGCTCAAATCATCTCCAACCGTTATCGATTGGAGGGGTAGTGGTAGATATCCTAAATAGCTGTGAATAATAGGCACAGGACTTCCAAAAGAGAAACCAGAAGAGAAGGATGTGCAGAAGGAGACAGTGGTGCAACATTGGTGCTATGGAAACTTCCATTCTTCTGGCATTACAGGTGTAAGTGGAAATTAACTATTTTCAGTGAAGGCGCAGTAAAAATATAAATTGCATGAAAATTCCTCCACCCTAGGCTGTTTGTAGAGATGCAGTTTAGTCTTTTGCAGACTGAGGTGTTTTGTCCTTAGCTTTGTTGTTGTTAAGATGATATTACTTGGTTAGCTACCCCTACTGCATCTTCTAATCTTTTGTATGGCAGGCTTCTAAAATGTGGAGTGTTATGGAGGTCTTAATGGGCAGGTAAACTCCAAGCAACTCACTAGTCTAATAGATTTACATGGTGGGGGTTGCAACCGTGAGAGTTTACTGTTGAGGAACTTACATAAATATCCAGTAGCTTATAAATGTATAAGCAGTGTTAATATTTTAATGATTTCAAGTATCACATTAATAGTGTAAAATACAGTGTAGTGTAGTGTTTCAATCAAGTCTGGTGGTGCAAGACCTCCAGGTTTAATTTCTTTCAGAACTAATGTAGGACCAGTTCTTCCAATCGTTTTTACTCATGCTTTACATAATATATAACATTACTGGTCTTATTCATGATTTTGCTGCTGCTGCTCAGCAAGTGCAGTGCTGTCACAATGAGTGGAACGATTCTTCTCGCCATAATCCAAGTTGTGTATGTATGTAATATTAATGTGTGTCTTGTCCCTGCGTTTCTCCTTTCCAATGCACACTTGCACTTCAGCTGCCTGGTAACCTTTTCATCTCAATCCAGTACTGAACCCACGTGTTCATCCTGGGCCATTAAGCACTACTGGAATGAGCATGATGGAGAACACAGGTGAAGGCATACTCAGTCACTTTACAGAAGTGATCTCCAGCAAGGCTGTTGCTGGGCCGGAGATGTTGTTATACTTTTGAACCAGAGCTGAATCCATGTAGTTAACACCTCTATGCTGTGGTCTTTAGTATAACCAATATTATTCAGGTTATCGTGTCATTTCCGTTGACTCGTACCTTTTCCAACGCCTGATAGCTTCAAATAATGAAGAGTCTTTTTCTGTTGCTTTAGTTGCATAAATCTAGCCTGGGAAGGGAAAAAGTTCCCAAACTAACCGCTGGTTTGGAAGTTCCCATATATCCAGAAGTTTGCCAAGTAACTTCATTGATCTTAAAAAAAGTTAAATCTTTCAATTTTTAAAATCCTAGCAGCTGGGATTTTTTTTTTCTCTGCCAGGAGGTTATACTCCACTTGGTCCATCAGAATGCCTTTTTTGAGACCTGATAATAAGAACATAATATTAAGAAAATGTAACACTGCTTGTTTCCAGTCTTCCACTCCTCTTTCTTCCCTAACACTTACGATGTTTTAAGGAAGCAAGACTAGAGCAGACAGTAAACATGATTTTGATGACTGATACCTTCTCTAATGTTGTGTACTTAGGAAAGTGGTGTTTCAACGTGTGTGCATCATTAATTTCTAGCTCTTGCAACATTAAATACAGCAGTTGCTACAGTCATGATAGAATCAAAGTTTGTAGGTTGGGAAATGAATTGTGACTGGCATGGATAAAGAGTTATTACTTTTTGTTATTGGAAAGCTGATTACATTATTGACTGAGTAGTGACCTTGTTGTGAACAAATACAGTAACCTAAAACCATGGGTTTTGTACCTGAACTATAGCTTTTTAAAATTAGTATTTAAACAATGAAATATTTCCACCGTGAATGCTCTTGCATTTGTTTTATCCTTACATCTAACTTTTCTATTTTTCTTTGCCAGGAAAAATAATCTAGCATTAACTACTCAAAAGAGTATATTCTCTGGTTGCTTATCTTCATTAGAAGTACCTAAATAAATGCAATTGACGTTCTTTCACTCTTGTTACTACAAGAACAACAGCTGTCTTCTTTATAGCAATGTCCAGATGTTCCTGTCAAGCTTAGACACACACAGTGCTTGGGACTTAACTGGTGGAGGGAGTGGGGGTGACCACTGCTTTATACTAGCATAAAGAAATAGTTTTGCTGACATTTAGAATATCATATAGAGGGGGATTATTATTATTTTTCTATTCCTGAGATTATTTTTTTTTCAGGGTAAGTACAGAGCGGCTTTCATCACTACTCTGCTTTGCTGATAAATATTCTGAACAGGTTTTTGTTTGTTTGTTTTCTTATATTAGGTGTGGTCCTAATATCCCTTGCCCTCTGCGCAGATGCAGTTATAGGAAATGTACAGGAAAAAGCTATGAAGTTGCACAATGGTTCTAATTCAGAAATGGTAAATACCAGATTTGCAATTTTAAAATAACATCTTCTGTTGTAGACAAGGCATACAATGACAAAACATGAAACTTAATCTGCTTTTCTCTTGCATATGTAATCTTGGTGTACTTACTATTCTTGGGGTTTTCTGTTTGTTTCGGAGCTTTTTGTGGTTTTTTGTTTGGTTTTTAACCTTTCAGGGGGGCAGCTGTGTGCAACTTCAAATGTATATTGCAGCTACAGAAATGCTTAGTTCTAGCAACAATTTTTTTGACTCCCCTGCAGGCCTGAAATCAACAGTGTTTTCTTTATGATCATGCACTTAATGTCTGAAAAATAGGTACTGTTCTTCTAGTATAGATAAGTGTGTGTTACATGGAACACATTGCTTTTCTTACTTTGCTAGACTTCTGATTCTAGGGTGCGCTAGCTTTTGAGGCAGCCTTTTGTGAAGGTTTTGAAATCAGTAGAACTCTGACTTTTGGAGTGGGTGAATATGTGTGTTCCTGATTCAGTGAAACACAGGATTGCTCAGTATGTTTTTTTATATACTTAGTTGGAACGTGGGTTGTCTGTTTGTATGGTCTGACTTTTTTTTCTTTTTAGACAAACCTTATGTTTGGATTTGGCATCTTTTTCTCTAAAATTGAGTAAATACAAGAAAATCTTTTATTACAACACTTTATTTGAATATGCCACAAGTAAAAAATTATTGAAATCAATTTGCATATTTGGCATGTATTTAACTGGAAAATGTAGGTTCTCGTTTGAGAGACTACCTTCATAAATGGAGAACAAATTAGTTAGAAGGAAGCTTCATTTATGGGTGAAAGTGATCTAGATTGACTCAAGAAGTTTGAGCTGCAGGTTTCAGGAAAGTGGAAGAATATACCTGAAGATTGTCACTGTTTTCTTGGTTTTTATTTTTGTATTTTTTCTTAGTATTCACTGTTAACTTCTGCCAGAGGCAGCTAGATGGACCTCACCTGGCCCAGCACAGCCTCCTATAGCTGTAATCTCTGAAATCCAAAACAAAGTACAGTCTGTAACTGTTTCCTTGCCCACTTTTCATCTTGCCAACAGTCATCTGACAGTTAACTGCCTTACCTACCATGCTTCTGTTGCCTGCAGAACTTTTCTTTTTATTGTGTGTTAGTCTGACAAATGTTGGTCTTTGTGTTGTATACTCATACTACTTGTAGCGAATCAGTGCAGTGATTAAGGATATAAAGGGTTTGTTTGTTTGTGGCCTAGAGATTACACTACAGGATTTTGTTTGGAGAATTCTGTGCAAAAGTACAAGCAGAATTTGAGAAATCATTTTTCTAGACTTGAGAATGTGGGTGAAAATTTAAGAGGTCTTCTGAATCAGAGATCATGTTTAATGGACAGTGATCTGGAAATAAAATTGAGTAGTAAAGGAACCTGTCATCCACAGAATCTCTGTTTTGTTGCTGAATTTGGAACTTGCCCTGGATTAAGCAGTTATGAAATGCAGCTGAAATAGTAACCACTGCTCTGGAAAGTTGTAGCTGATTTTGCCTTATGTTTTATTCTAAGAACATATCACACTGCCCAACAAGGAAAGCTGATTTTGCCTTATGTTTTATTCTAAGGAAGGAACATATCACACTGCCCAACAAGGAGCTAGCAATGTGGTGCTCATTCCTGGTTGTGAATAGGGAGGTCTTTGGGTAGTTTGGGAGAAAAGCTGAATACAGAGGCGAATGAAGAACTAGAGACTAATTTTTGTGTGTATAAACACTGTAAAATAAGAGCTCAGATAAGGTCATTGTTTTTTAAGAGGTTGAAAGCAGTTCTACTCTTGAAATGTATATTCATCCTCCTTTATTGTAGAGCAACAATAGGTGTTCTGTTGTCTCATGGCATTAATTGTTCATAGATTTATTTTTTCAAATAATTGTTGTTGTATAACAACAAAACAATGAAATGTGTGTCAAAAGAAGTAGACGGATTTATTTTTTCAAATAATTGTTGTTGTAGTTGTATAACAACAAAACGATGAAATGTGTGTCAAAAGAAGTAGACATCTAATTGACACCAACTTTTGAAAGTATAGTAAGTCATCCCTGTTCTAGCTAGTCATGTGTGAATAGTTCTGTTCACTGTCTCCCTTTCCACAAGAAAAGGCCCCTAAATGTTGCCCAGTTAGCTGAATGCCTCCCACTGCATGGGAGGGTGTGTGGAGGGACGCTTCTCGCTTCTGTTGTTGCCTTACATGGGAAAAGATAGGATGAAGATTCTGTTGTCACTTTTGGATGAAGCTGTGAGTTAAATATGGGTACAGACAAAATGAAGAGCTTACCTGTTTGCTGAGTATAGTCTTTTCTGAGTACTGAACTAGGCCAGAGCTGGTCATACATGAAAATCTTGTATCCTATAACCATAATGCAGGTGCGCCATGTACGTGAACTGAAGTGACACAGATGAAACTTATGTGACACTTCTTCTGGCAGTTCATGGTGATTACGTGCTACACCTTGCACATTTAAGGTAATATGGATCTTTGCTGTGCAGGTTAAGTAGCAGAAAACAAAATATTTTTAACATATTATTAAAACTATTTAATTAAATAGTTGTGTGAAGTTTTATTTAGGCTTTGAAATCCTGAATTTGAAGGATTTACCACAGTCAGCATTGACGTCAGGATATTATTAACTGACTACCTTACAAAACTTTTTATGTAGTTGTGGGTAGGAAGAATGTCTCTAACACTTATTCAGTTTTCATTGTACATCAGCTGTGATACAAATACTAGGAAAAATATCTTCCCAGAGAATTTGAATATTCTCTTTCCCAGATAAATTGAACATATTAATAAGGCCGAACATTTGAAAGCATTTAATTTTGTCTTTCTGTATAGTATCACCTGGTAATTATTTTTTCTTAAACTATTCTAGGTTTTGTATTCCTATTCAATAGGTTTTGCATATATTTTATTTGGATTAACATGCACTAGTGGATTAAGCCCTGCAGTAGCATTTTGCTCAAAGGTAGGTGTAAAGATTTCCTTTTTTCTGTGAACAACCTCATTGGAAAACATTGCTCTGTATGGCTTAGAAAATGTCAGCACTTCCCTAAAGTTTTATTTTCGTCATGTAAACTGTTTGACTTGTGTAATTCCTACATTAAGCAAATTGTTACAGTCTTTGATGTATAAGATAGGGTAATGTTTAAAAAAAAAAAAAAACACAGGACCAGACTTATGAGCTTATAATTTCATTTTTATTTGTTCATTATTTAAAATTAAATAAGGATCTTTGCATGAATGCATTGTTGAACAGCTTATTATTGCTCAAGCAGTTGATTAAAGTCTATAGTTTTATGTAATTTTGCAATACCTCGGGGTTTGTTTTACATTTTCCTAACAGACTTTTTGTTGTTGTTGCAGCATCCAGTTCAGACTTACGGTTATGCATTCCTTTTCTCCCTGACTGGGTATTTTGGCATATCCTTTGTTCTAGCTTTGATTAAAATCTTTGGTGCCCTTCTGGCTGTAACAGGTATGAACAAATGATATCTTCACTGTTTTTGGTATAAAAACATGAAGTAATCCTATTCTATTATTTAGGACAGAGCTTTTGAGAATTGTTCTCACTCTGGTCAGTAATATGTTGAAAAGATTTGGGCCACTCACTGAGGTGTCTGCTAGCTGCACGTGAATGTGGAACTATATAAATCCTTAAAGGATGTCAAAAATTACTGGAAACCTCTCCATTAATCCACCAAATGCTATCTTGTCTGCTCCTGTGATAGTAAATGCACAAATAAAAAGTTTCTGTGATGTGAAGTTCTCACCTAATAATATAATAATTTCCTAGCAATAAATGGAAGTCAGACCTATCTGTGCTGACATGCTCCAGGTGTGTATCCAGATGGATGAGGAAAGTGGAGGATGGAGGAGGAGGATGGAGGACATGAAGCAAGAGGCAGTCACAACCATTATAGATTTTTAACCTTTATAGATATTCAGACTTGACTCATATACTATATGCAATTGGACATATTCTTCATGTTGGGTAATCAGTCATGTGGAAAAAATCATGTGGAGAGGTTGAAATCCTGCTGGCTGAGACGGGCTCTCTATGAATGCGGAAGCCACTGAGCACAATGAGTCTCAGCACTGTGCTGGGAAGTAACGTCATCTGATTATGCTTGGTCTTCACTAATGCTCTGGCTGATGTGTGCCCTAGAAGCAATTAAAAGAATTTAAAACTAAACATGGTCTATGTGGAAGGGCAACTGCATGGTTTCAGAGAAGGACGTGTGTTCAGAGCTTATTAATACCTTGCCTGCCTGAGATCCTTAATGGAAGAAGCAATATAGAAAATTATTAAAGGAATCACTATTAAGACAGATGTGACGGGAATTGCAGCTTAGAAATTATTTTTATTTGTTATTGTGACTTGGACCTGTATTTGTGAGGCTGTGGCATATTTTAGCATGCAGTGTTAGCTCAGTGTGGCAAAGCGAGCTACAGCCAGATGACATGACTGTATTTCAAGGGAATGCTTTTAATTTGCTTTGGTATGGGTTTGTAAAACAGTCAAGTGACTGAAGTTTTTACATATGGGAATATCCTCAACTGTTGGAATAAGGGGAAATTACCCTGCCGTTACCAGCAGTTAATTGTAATGTTAACTTTTTTATGTATCTAACAACGCTAAAGGAAAAGTGTGACACTTGATCATGTTTCAGCATCTTCCTGTGCACCTGTTTTCAAGCTGTCCCTAAAATTATTACTTTCACTATATGCTATAGAACATCAATTTGTTTGTCTGTAGAAATAGTTGCTTCCAAACTTAAAATGTAAGTTCGGTGTATTTTTCAAGAAATCAGTCATTGCCTAGCTAGCTTCTCCTATCATTTATATAGTTATCTGTCAAAAAAAGTTACACCAGGCTCGTGCCTTCCCTGGGTTACCTTTTCTTGAAACTACAGGTGTCAGTCACAAGGGTCTGGAGGTGGAAGGTGTCGCAAGATGCTATGGAACTAGTTTTCTTTCTCTTCCCTCTAACCCCTAAAAGCTGGTTTCTGCTCTACTTCATTCACAGCAGTGGAGAGGAAAGTATAGACAGTTATTTTCTGACTTGAGGATTTCATGCTCTGCTTTCCTATTAATTACTGGCTTTGCAGCCCTTCTGTTTTGCATTTGTTTTTAACAAAGTTCAGTGTGTCACCTGACTGGAAATTGGCCCACATGAGAGGGTTTATTCGTGTATTAAAAATAGCTCTTTTGAAAAAAATCTTACTGTGCTAAAAAATGTTTTAAAATGCTGTGCAATAGCAAACCCTTCCTAGGTTTTCTTATGCCTGACCTTGACAATCCTAATACTTGAGCCCTTTCCATCTTGCCTGTAGCAATATGAAAATGTTTATTGTGCCTTGGAAGAACACCACATTCATTACTGTCCCTCCCACCCCTATCCACCCTCCCCCTTCTTGGGGGGGGGGGGATTGAGGTGAAAGAGTTTAATGAAAATTGTATTTCTATTAGCAGAATGAGAAATCATCAGACTTAATTGGGAAAAAGAAGAAAAGGCACTTAATTTAGAAGGAAATGGTTACATAAATATTTTAATTAATAACTGATTTGAAAGAACAGAAATAATCGTAATTAGAAAAACTCAAGTAATTTAACCATTTTTAAATTATTAATCTGTAAACTGTTTTCTAATTAAAACTCAATTTTCTTTTTCATTCTCCTTTAATTTTTCATGTAATAGAAAATCATTTTATTTGATGCGCATAAATTTCTTAAAATGTAAAGAAAATTGTTACTAAAAAGTTGAGATTGGGGCAGATAAAGCAATGGTGAAGGCTCCTTCTTCCACTACAAAACATGCTTTTAAGTAAATATTTGTTTGTGGGGGAGGCTGGGGAGAATGAAACTTGCTTTACTAGCCATAACAGTGTGAATATACGTCAGTAGTCATTGCTTTCTTTTATCAGTATGTTACAGTAAGACTAATGTGGATGTAGTTATATAAGTAGGGCTTTCCAATATGGTGCAGCAAAAAGTATTTCATGGTAAGCAAAATATTTTCTGTTAATAAAAAACACAGTCTTCTTTAGGTGCAGATAATTGTACTGGAGTCTTTCTTAAGTGAGAAGCCTACACTATCATATAACACCTTCTCAGGCCCTTAAACTCCATAGCTAAACTTTACGCTTGGCTGCCTTCTTACTTTTTTTTAACCATTTTCTGTAACTTTTACTCATTTATTGATTTTATTTCAGTGATAAACTATATAGATTTCCCAGTACACAGTTTGCTAGCAAAGCTGTGTTCTTGTTCATAGCAGATAGCATTGAAATTGTTCAAATAATTGTTGGAGCTATAGTTAATTTGAGAGTAACCCAAACAGGGTCAGGTCCCATTTTGGCAACAGGATTGTGTTCTCAGCTCTTTTTACTACCTTGATTCTTTCTAGTGATAAGATCACATAAAAGACTTATCTCTTAATGGTTTTGATTAAAACTTTGTAATGTATAGTCATTTAAGTCAGACATCCCTGGTCTCCTGGGTTTCTAATCAAAACTCCATTTCTCTGCACTGTTAGGTGAATTTGCAGTAACTTCAAAAGAATGACAAGATGCTGATCCCATTCCATTTAAAAATAAAGCCTAAACCACCACTGAACTGTAATAACATGAGGCAGAAATTGCAAGAGATTTGGTGTATCCAAACAGTGATACCACTTCTTACTGCTTTAAAAGATTAGTTTATACCATCAGTACTTGCAAGGATTGTTTGTCGCGTTCAGATATTGTGAATTGATTAACGTGGCGTTATTAAATAGCAATTCTTGTTCTGGAAGTTTCTCTTACTGCTTTAAAAGATTAGTTTATACCATCAGTACTTGCAAGGATTGTTTGTCGCGTTCAGATATTGTGAATTGATTAACGTGGCGTTATAAATAGCAATTCTTGTTCTGAAAGTTTCTCTACTGCAGGTACTATGACTGGGGCTGGTACTACTGACACAGCGTACTTGTTTCAAACAGCATATGGTTCTAGCGCTATTTACACTGGACCCGGCATCTGCAGTCTGTGTTTGCACCAAGAATGATCGTTGTTTTAGCCAGACACTTAATTAGATAATGAGGTTATCAACTAATATTGAAGACTGTATTACGTTCTTTTGATGTAACTGAATTCTTAAAGAAGTAAATATTTGTTTTCCTCTGCAGTAACTACAGGAAGAAAAGCAATGACCATTGTGCTTTCTTTTTTGTTCTTTGCAAAGCCATTCACATTCCAGTAAGTATTTACAGTTTTAAATGGGTTTTTATATATTTTATTTAAAAAAATGTTCTTGATCATGGACATGAAACAACAGTAATTAATCATATTCAGGCTTTAATGCTTTTCATTTCGTATCTTCTACAAATGTTGGCAATCTGCTGTACATATGGGCTGGCTTGTTGATGCTAATCATGCTAGAGAAAATAGTTTCCATTTTTCTAAAGGTCTGGAAGACAAGCCGTTCCATGTGTTGGCATTTTGTTGGGGGGGGGGGGGGGGGGGTGTTTTGCCAGTATCACTGTGGATCACTCATTTGCATGTTTGTTTGTTTGTTTTAAAGAAAAACCTTACATGATATCTAGTGCTTATGATACTTTGGGTATTTTCTCTGTGAGGGAAGATTGGCTAAAGGAAGACATTTTTTCTGTTACACTGTTGTTTCCCCTTTTATAAGCTCAGGTTTGAGTTCTTAGCTAGCCCTTTTAAATAACTGCAAGTTTCTATTACCTTGATATATTGGATTGCAAGATTTTTGAGTTCAGGTTTCTTCCCTTTTTTTTAATTTCAAGGAAGAGCTTACATTGAAAACTGCAGCTAAGTTGCTACATTGATCCTAATTACTTCTGGTTTGAAATCAAATAGTATTCTGTTTTATTGCTGGGTATAAATTTATTTGAGATTTGAGAACAAAGCTTACAGCCAAAGACCCAAATGGTACTCTAAAAATCTTGAGGCTTAAAATAGTGGAGAGCTGAAATAAAAATGTACGTACATTGCGAAGTATGGATATAAGGCACTGAGTGAGAACACATTTTGGACCAGTAATAGAGTATAGCTCTCGTATCCACTGGATGGAAAAACATACTAAAGCCCCTCTACTTTATTCATGTGAGAAAGAACAACTACTATTTAGTTATTATTTAACTGTAAATGCCTGTTAATAAACTGTCCAGGCAGCATAGGAGAAAGAAGGGTGCAAGGATAGTAGTGATAAAGATTCAAGAAAATTCTTTCTGAGAGTCCACTATTTTTTTTTTCCTTAAACTCTTCTCTCCTTAATGTAGGCACTTTATTTAATCCACAAATATTGGTATGTAATTGCTACACATAAAGTGCTAATGATAATTTTTTTTCCCCTCCTCTCCCTCCCTTTTAGGTACGTGTGGTCAGGCTTACTGGTTGTCCTTGGTATATTTCTTAATGTTTACAGTAAGAACATGGATAAAATCAAACTGCCTTCACTGCATGGTCTTTGGAAAAAAAATGTGGAAGAAAGAAAAACAAGGACGTTGTCACAAACTGTATAGACAGTGGTTTATGCCTTGTCTAGACTCTGACTTACTGTTATTATTTTATTGGAACAGTCTTCAACTGATTCACTTTCCAAAGGGAACATTATTAAAACCAAAGGAGCTGAAGGCATATTGTCTGCTTGAGGATTGCTAGAAATGCACATTTTTGTGAGCCCTTTCTTCAGAGCACTTGAATTCGTCATAAAAGATGGTGTAGGCCATTATCGGATGGCGTTATCAAGGAATGAAGGACAGCAGCTCCTGGCAAACTGCTGAGAATCACACACACAGAGTCACAGAATGGGCTGCACTCCAAGTGGGACACAGCAGAAGACTAAATTGGGCATTTTAATAATATTGGCCGTGTGGCTGATCTGGCATTAGTGATTCTTTGTCTTTGTTAATTGTCTAGGTGGGGGTAATTTAAATGTAATACTGTATTAAAATTTAATGGAACCTAATCAGCGACTGGTTGACCAAATTGCAATTTTCAGGTAGAAGGTTTAGAATATGGTATGTTGTCACTCTTTTTCATTTTAAATAAAATGTTTGGGGTTTTTTTTAAGTTATTGATTAGTTCATCATGGAACTTGGTATTTATTATAATAATATTTTACCCCATTTTAGTGGGAATCTTAAGGTGTTACTCTTTTTGATTATTGCTTGCAAGTAACGAAAATAAATTTGAGTTTATGCAGTCAGCACCCATGCTTTTACTAGAGGGGAGTGGGGTTTTAGGCCTAAACAAGGTGAGAACACTGAGCGAAAAGACATGATTGAAACAGTGGGGCAGGAAGCTGTAATTTGCTTATTCTGTGATGAACTACAAAATTTTTAGTAGCTTGCAGCCCTCCATATCATAGTGGTATAAAGACATGTGGAAGTTCTCTGAATTAGTATCATCAAATCAAAACTCTTAATTTGCAATATTGGAGTAAAGAATAACATCATCTGCTAATGTGTTTGGAATACGTACTGTGTCAGTCTTTGTGTGGTCTTGTGATGAACTTAAGAGGGTTTTAGGGTACAGATTACAATTTTCTTTAATGAAAGGAGGAGCCAAAGTGCTACCAGTCTGTCTTTTTCATCATTAATTTAGGAAGACTAAGTCCGTTTATCTTTCTTACTTTCATATTCAACTTACATTTGAATTGCTTGCCGTCTCTTTCATTTTATATATTTAACAATAGCACTTTAAAAATAATAATCACCTTGCAGTTCATTGTTCTCATGTGGTCATAGGGGTTTTTTTGTTGTTGTGTCCCTTAGATGCATATTGGTGTGTGTTCTTTCAATTTAGACAAAAATAAATCGCATAATAGAATTGTATAGTCAGGAAGAACATCCAAAGATTTGAAATATATGACAGGATTGCCTTCTGCCAAAAATACTACTTTATGAAAGTATTCAGATTGTGCAAAATGGTTTTCAGACATGTAGGAATAATTGCTGTTCCAAGGAGCTTGTAATCAAAGCACAGAAACAAAACGTGCCTTAAATTTTGCTTATTGAGTTGATAGCTAGCATATGCCATATTAAGTATGTTATAAAACAGAACACGGAATAACATAGCCATCTTAGCACAATGGGACAAACAAGTGGACAGCTGCGCTAACGGAACTGCACTGTTTCCAGCACTCAGACTACTCTGATGTTTCAGCAAAGCCTTTCAGCCCATATACACTCAGTGTTGCCAAGTTAGGAGAACTTCTCATGTGTCACAATTTTGGTTTTTAAATTCCCAGCTGCTGCATGATTGTGTCCTGGGTACGGTTGAGAGGTGTGAATTTGACAAACAGATACACCTTGGAAGAAAAGAATGGCCTGCCATAGCTGTCAATTTTCATGTTGCAGCTGAAGTTTGATGATAAGATATGAAAAAGAGTTACAATTTCAGATTTGATGGAAGAGTGCACTTGACCAAGTCAAGGGGATTGATACACGTCTTTCCCAGTAATATTTATCAGCTCTTCTGTTCCCTTGCATTCTTTTCACTAAATGAAGTTGCTCTTTTCAGTGATGTTAAATTGCCTGTCAAGCCTAAAAGAGGGACAGTTTTTCAACCATGGAAAAGACAGTAATTAAAGAACATTTACTGCTCTGTTCACTAGCTTGGTAGAACTTGGCAATTAGCATTTGAGCATCATTTTGACAATTTTTTCAGTCTCAGTTGTGCCATCTGTAAACTCTATTGCTAAACTTTATTGAACTTTACAAAACCCAAGTTATGTGAAAGTTCCCATACATGCAAAAAGTCATAGTAAATATAATTCATTTGGTATCTGTTTTACATAGGAGGTGAGAAGTCACTCACAATGTTTCTCACTAGAATTCAAATGTAGTATGTAGCTTGCCGAACTGTTTATATAACCCAGTTTTGTCTCTATTTTCACTCTGGAGAGCATAGTGTTCACAATAATTTACCTATTAATTTATTCTCTATTGTATACAACACTGAGTTAATGGAGCCCGTGTTAGGGAAAATTTTGATTTATTTTTTTATTAATTTTCTTAACTGTAGAAATTTATGGGTTTTTTTACAGGTGTGCTTAAAAATGGTTTTTATACACAAATGAATATTGTAGGTTTAGTGTTAATAGCATAAATCTAAGAGTCAGATTTTTATTTTCGTAGGTATGAGTATAGTACTTACTAATCAACAGTATGTGTGTTAAAGAAAAGGCACACACAAGTGAGAGTTGTTCATAATTTGCCGCCTGTCATGGTCTGTGCAGTTTCGTGCTTTCATTGAGACATTGAGAAAACCTTCATTTCGGTGAATTGCTGTTCATGTTTGTTGGGTTTTTTTAATAAGCTTTGTAGCGCATGCAGGTAGGAGAACTTTACAAACCTCCAAGTGGTCTTATTACAGATTTTTTGTTTAGGATCTTCTGTACTGTATACATATGTTAGTTTTGTGTTGCCTATGAAATATGAATAAGGGCTTGTCCACAAATTAACTGTAAACTCTTTATTTTTCATGTAAGAGCACTTATATTGGGGTGTTGGTTAACCCTTTCTAATGTTGCTGTGTAGGTTGATCATGATGACTTTTGCATTTTATACTCATTGGTTCCTGGACTCCTTACAGTAGACAGTATGAAACTACAGAAGAAAAAAAACATTGACTCTGTCACCATAAAATGTATTATCTAAAAATAGTGTGAATTAGTTGCTGCTTATTCTTATGCTACACAGCTTTCTCCTCTCTTCAGAAAAAAACTGTGATATGAGATTTAGTTATAATGGGATTGAAGTTCACACTAAAATTTAAGGCTGCACAAGGCCTCCACTGATGTCAGCAATCTACCTCTGTGACACCCTCTACTTGTGCCTCCTTTGGAGGACTGAGGGAGCTTTGTTTTCCTAAATTGCTATGCATTTGCGATTGTTCTCACATTACGTTTTTGCATTTATTTGACACATGTCAATACCGAAGTAGTTGACTGTGCAGTGGGTTTCTTCAGTATTTCAGTGCGACAAAGGCCTCCACTGATGTCAGCAATCTACCTCTGTGACACCCTCTACTTGTGCCTCCTTTGGAGGACTGAGGGAGCTTTGTTTTCCTAAATTGCTATGCATTTGCGATTGTTCTCACATTACGTTTTTGCATTTATTTGACACATGTCAATACCGAAGTAGTTGACTGTGCAGTGGGTTTCTTCAGTATTTCAGTGCGTCAGTATCATCAAACTGCTAATGTTTCAGTTACCTACCTACGGTACGAGTGTGGAAGAACTAATGCTCTGAGACACTCGCTATAGTGTTTCCTGATACCACATTAAACTGTTTTCTTAATCTTCTTTTACCACTCATGAGCTTTGAGCCTGCCAGACATTTTAAGCTAAAACTTAGCCATAGGTCATTCCTACTTGTCTTCCTTATCTACTTGTCTTTCCTACTTTTGGATGTTAACTCCCTTTTTATCATGCCCTGTTGATGCACTATGGATTGTTTCAGGTTTCAATTCCTGCATTTAAGGGCTCACATCATACTATTACAGATTGGTCACATTCTGTATTTTCTGCTTCATATCAGTGATGACTGACTGGATGATTCTTTTAAATCCTTTTTTCTCCAAGAAAAAAAAATCTTTTACACTTGCCATTATTTTTGGAAAGGTCTTGATCAGTACATGTATAAATTAATCCCCTGACCTCATTTCATCTTCCAAGAAAACCTCTCTTCTCCCTTGCTTGCCTTTGAGAACTAAAGGAAGATGAAATAAATTATTGCAAGTGTTCTTTTTTCTTTAATATGCCTTCCTTACTAACCTGGTTTGTCTTAATTGTTTCTTTTCTTTCTGCCTCGCAAGCTCCAGGCACAAACATGCGTTTCTCTTATGTTTGACCACTGCTTGTTCAGTCATGGAAACTTTTTAAGTTGTTTACTGTTCTGGAAGGATGTATAGAATTGCATGTATACTCTGGAGGGCAGGAAATAATAAGTAAATTTCACAAGTTAGGGAAGTAGTTAAATGGATTCACACTTTTTCTGGAGGGATTTTATATATGGTTTAGGTAATAGCTCAGAATTTGTTAGGGGGACTTTTACGTTTTACCTGTTTAAAAACCTTTATATTAATTTTAATATTTAATATAAAACTCCTGACTATTCAGACAGTTTGTAGACATTAATTTTAGTCTTGCCTATGAGGCAGAAAAATCCTATCTCCATTTCACTGATGAAGCAGAGCTGGTAACTTGCCAAAAGTTGCCTTAGTAAGTCTGTGGTGAGCAGGGAATGGATCTTAATACCCTCAGTTATTCTACGCCCCAAGTCCAACAGAGCCCTTCTCTACCTGAAATAAAACGGTGCCATCATAAGCTCAGTTTTCCTTTACCCTAGTTTTAGAGATGTTAAATTACGTCTGTTCTGTGTTCTTTACTAGAGTAATTTAAAATGAAATTAGGACAGCTGTAGAATAGGCTTCCTGCATTTTGTCTGAAGCTTCTTTGCATTGTGTATGTTGTTATTGTCTTGTTAATTTGTTCTGTTTTCTGTGAACACAGCTGTGGAAACAAGCCAGAGAGAGTAGCAGTCATAGGAGAAGCATAATACCCTTCAGTTTTAGGTGACTGGTCCCAATTTACTCCACCTTGCTACTGGTCAAAAGCTACTGCCATTGGAAAACTGTGAGGAATTGTCATGTGAGGAATTGAGCATAATGATGTCATGCCAGATCTGGATCTTTTTGCCATTCACTTGTAGAGAAGCAAAGGCAGTAATGCAATAAAGAACATTCATGCACAAATACTCAGCTTAGAATGTAATGCTGCCTTAATGCTGCTTTTCTATGCCTGGATCAATTCCTGGATTTTTGCTGGTTTTTCTTGAGGTGTGATAGTAAGGTGTTGCTTCTCTACACTTTTGGGTATTTAAATATTCTTTCTTTGTTAGATTTCTTGGTTTTATGCTTCCTCTTCTCTTGGCCTTTTATTTTATCTGTAAAGTTTTACCTTGTAGTATTCGTTACACCTGTAGTACTGTGTCCAGTTCTGAGATCCCCAGGACAAGACAGATGTGGGGCTACAGGACAAAGTCCAGCAAAGGGACATGTA